TCTCCAGGTATTTCTGTTCCTTCTTCCTGAGTGTCCAAGTCTCTGCTCCATACAGCGCGACACTCCATACGTAACACATCAAATGTGAATAATTAAGCCATTAATAGACTGGACTAATAATCGTACAAGTACATGTTTGTTTCGCAGTATTATTCGATTATTTTTCTGCTCTTTGATACCTGCTCAGGTTGTTGATTGTCAGATGAAATGATATGACAGTATGCAGGGACAGGGGAGGTATTGTCAAATTTCAAGTTACTCTCCTGACGTTCGTCTGGATTGGTTGAAGAAAGAATCATTCACTTGGAAACGTAGGTCCTTGCTGAACAGGGCACAAATAAAACTACTAGTAATCGGTCACGTCTGGAGTTGACTTATATCCAATTTGGTGTCTGTCCATTGTTTGCTTCTGGCACCGAAATCTTTTATTCGCTGGATATATAAAAGTTAATCATATTTCTCGTTTGTTTCTTCTGTGGTTCAGTGAATTGTTTTATGAAGTGTTGGTGTAACTATGTCAATAACTTGTGCAACATAATTTCTTATAGCTTGATCTAAAATCGGATTATTCCACTCGCTTCTTTCGCTGTTAACAGGTGATGGCTGATTTGTGAGTCATAAAGAAGTCTTGGCATTTGGATGTCTAACACTTTTTTTACTTTGTTGCAGAGTGCTGGTTACCTGAAGCGTGCCAAGACTGACAAACTTCATGATATTTTTAACAAGGTGAAGTATTACGACTTCTTTATTCATTAATCTCTTAAAGAATTTTAAAATGCTTAAGGAGAAGTCTAGTACATATGTATTTTGTTGTATTTTTACCATCATAACCAGAGCCTCTTGTTTATTTTGGGGGTGCACTACATGAAACAGAGGTTGCATGTAAGATTTGGGGTCCATATTGCACATCTTACTTCAGAAAATTTTGAGGCTTTATCATAGGCGGGAGAATAATGCTGAGATGAATCTTAAAGAAATAGGACGTCACGCTATACACTGGGTTTATCTGCTCAATGTACAGAGGAAGGAACGTGCAGTATAAAATTTGAGGTTTCCATGGCATAGAGAGTTCAAAATGGGGTCTGTGTTAGTTTTTCTCATTATGAATGTGGTTGCCATGTTTATGGAACCATAGATCGAAGAACTTCCAAATACTAGGACGTATTTTGTTGTGACGTTTAAGCCGTTGAAGGTGGTGAATTAGAAAATGAGTTTGGCACCAGACTGTGTTTGTTACGATACTGGGATACTGGGAACGACATGTTCTTTAAGTGCCCGAGCACTGCGGGTCCCAACTTTTTGTTGTCTCGATCCATAGACATTCGGTAGGACTCCTTGGACGAGGGGTCGGCCCGTCGCAAGGCCTCTACCTGTACACAGGACAGCACAACATCCATGGCTTGAGTGGGATTCGAACCCACGGTCCCAGCGACCAAGCGGCACAAGGCCCACGCCTCAGACCGCGCGGCCACCGCGGACCCCCTTGATTTGTGGTTGGCGTCTGTTCCCCCAGTTTTGCCTGTTAACATAATTTTCCAACTAGAATCCCAGTGTTACAGATCATATACTTCAGAAGCTGACTATTTATCTCTTCATCCTTGTTTCAAAGCATTCAGTTTGGGTAAAAATGGACAGCAAAAAGGAATATTTTTGTCACATGTACAAAAATGGTTAGATCTTGTAGTTGTTGGCTCTGATTTTGAGAATAACTTAAAAAATTTGTTTTATCACCCATAAATTTTGAGAGAGTCAAAAATGAAGTTTGAACTAATTTAAGGACACCTTCCTGTTCACTCTAAATCTTAAATAATCTAAATTTGGGTGTCACTCAAGAACTGTGGACGACGTAAACCTTTTTGTTTTTGTATGTACGATCAGTATAAACAAGTACGTACAGATTACCTAAAAACACTTTTTTCTACCACATCCAGACTGGCTCTGGGCCCACCTAGCTTCCTATCCAATGGATCCTTGGGGCTCCTTCCCTGGGGATAAAGTGGCTGGAGCGTGAAGCTGGCCTCTCGCTTCCATCTAGTGTTGAAGTAAGAATACGTGTAGCTACATCTTACCTCCCTCATGAATCTTCGTGGTGTGGTGTGGTTAACAATTTGTCTTATGAATCTTTTTTTAACGTGTGGTGCCAAGAAAGGTGTTTTGTTTTGGTTCAGTTTTGTGATCTTTGAACATAAAGTAATTTAGGCGATTTATTTTTTCAAACACAAGAACTTCACTCATTGAATGCAATGAGAAGCAACTCAGATTATTTCTAGGGATGAAAGAAATTAGGGTTATAATTGTAGCCAGAAAATTCTAACTGCAGTCAGTTAACTGGGAATAATGTATTTGGGCAAAATTTTAAACCCAAGTTAATTTAGTATAACGTAGGAATTGGATAAGCAGAGGCACAACTTTTTACCTTTCCTTTTATCCACGCTTGCACCAGTATCAACAGAGCACCGAGGACCATGATATAATTTTGTACATTAGTTTACGTTGAGGGATTATTTAGAAGGCACAGCAAATTTTCAACAAGGCCTTTCAGATAGGATAGTGAAATTTTTTGAGTCCATACCTTATGGTAGAACATATTACAGTGGGGCATGTGTATGTTACAAATCTCGTTCTGAGCCAGAGGAACGAATGAAGTCATTGCTATCCTTTCTGTGAAGCTGCGCTTTTGTCATTGCAGGGGCTGACGGTCAGTTATACTAACGTTTTTCATCTGTTTGTTTTCCCGTAGTATGCATCTATCGAGCGGAATGGCGAGAAGTACATGACGGCGGTCGACTTCGTGCAGAAGTACCTAGGACTGTTCTCCGACGCAAATTTTAATTTAGAATCCGTGAAACTCTTGGCTGGAATTGTTGACACGAGTAAAGATGGGTGTGTATATGATCGATGAACTTAACTTTATGTTTAAAACTGTCTTTATTTTTTTCTTAATTGTTTTTCATCTGTCAGCATATAAAATTCTTTGTTTTTTTCATATATTTGTACAAATTGTATGTGAGTGCAAAAATAGAGTTGGGTTTGTTAATCCGCCCACGTTTCATTTCCATTACTAACCTAACAGACAAAAATCTAAAACTTCTTGACGATGGTGAAGAGTCAATTGAATAAAAATTTTCTTGGATATTATCCATCGTCTAGTAAATATAAAACGTAAAACGACGTTTCGGAGACGGGACTCTCCGACAGAGATAGAGTCCCATCTCCGAAACGTCGATATTGTTTACTTGTTACACTTCACTTTCAAAACATTTAAATTGTGTATTTGAGAGCAACATCAGTAGTTGGTTAATAATTAATTTGTGGAACATAATAATTTACCAGGAAGTAAAGAACCGACGAGTAATGAAGGAAATCAAATATCACGAAATATAGGCAGTGATAGTCATTTTGCAGCAAAAATTTCCTCAATCAGAATATAACAAGAAAAGAAATCTCAAAATAATAAATGCGCGGAAACAGCGTCATCTTAGGTCTTAGGTCAGTTTGAACTTTGTGCGTGAAGTTCGAGTTGGATGCGTTATCACAGAGTGCAGGTGGTAATGTAATGCTTGTTTATCGTTGTTGCAGACTCATCTCATTTCCGGAGTTCCAAGCATTTGAGGGGCTGCTGTGCGTGCCTGATGCCCTCTATAAGACAGCGTTCCAACTGTTCGATACAAATGGAAATGGAGTGGTTAATTTTGGTGAGTTATTATTACAAGTGCTATGAAGTAATTACAGTGTTGTATGAAGCGTACTCCGTGCGATCTCTCTAACATCACATTATGGGCTGTTCCTACTATATATCTGCTACCACCTCGAGGGAAAGTGGCGTACGTGTATTTTCCCTTCTTGCTTTGCCGCAGTAATATCTTTCATTGTCTGTTTGCAGGTATTGCTGTTTTAGTGCATTTCTTGACACAGAAAACATAATTCCTTAAGTTGACAAGAATTTATTTTTAACTGCTTAAAACCATGTAGGACTTGAAGATGGCTGTCTTCTAGCTAGAACTTGCTTGCTGAGTTTAAGTACGGTCCTGCTGGTGCACCGACTCTTACTTGATGCATGTGGTCGACATCGAACTCTGTAGTTACGGCCGTAAACAGTGTTCCTGCATTGTTTCAGAAGATTGTGACTTCATGCTGCTCTGTAGGAGTTTAATTTTTAAGTATGGGTTGCTGTGGTAATTTTGTGTTATTTGGGTTCCTACTCTGTCTGTGGGTCTTTCCACCGGTACGAGTTGTTTTCTTAGATGGCTGTCTTTTGGGTTATAGTGTCGTGTAGTCTGGTAGACGTTTACCATTGTTTTGGAGGTCCTTGCAGCCTCCGTCATCAGGCTGCCAAACTAAACGGTGCTAGAACCCAGAAGACAGCCGTCTTCACCTCAGTCCGAGTTGTATTATCGCTTGCATTTATTTTACCTTCCAGGTATTTATCATTTCTGTTTGTTTTCTTACAGATGAGTTCTCTGAGGTGATGAAGAAGACGGTCCTGCACAATAAAATTCCGTTCGATATGAATGGAGGCTTTGTGAAGCTGTATTTTGGTAGAGACAAGAAACGGGCCATCAGCTATGCAGAATTCAGTCAGTTTTTGCATGTTAGTAAGATCTGTGTGTAAAGTAGTTGTTGCATGTGTAACAAACCCATTTTAGAGCACTTTACTTTTAATGTTGCACTTGAACTGTCAGTAGTATGACAGGCTATGAAGCGAGTGGTCGTGGTTTGATTCCCGGTAATGGCCGGAGTAGAGCTGGACTTGCTTGTCTGCTATCCGGTGGGCACCTTCAGCTCTTTCGCTAGATGTACAGACAACCGCAGCTCAGCTACGTGTATTAAATGACCGTCTCTCTGCATGCCTTGTAAATTTGTGTCTTTGCACTTGTTTACACATGATTTATGATATGTTTTGGAAATATGAGTTTACCTTCAGGGCTTCAATCGCCTTTTACAAATCACCTCACTGCTGACAGCCACTAAGCAATAGTTGCCCCTAATTACTCTGATTAAGATTTTAAAGTCAGAATCACTTCTTATAATACTGGGAACGACCCGTTCTTCAAGTGCCTGAGCACTGCGGGTCACAAATTTTTGTTGGCTCGATCTGTAGACATTCGGTAGGACTCCTTGGACGAGGGATCGGCCCGTCGCAAGGCTTCTACATGTACACAGGACAGCACAACATCCATGGCTTGAGTGGGATTCGAACCCACGGTCCCAGCGACCAAGCGGCACAAGGCCCACGCTTCAGACCGCGCGGCCACCGCGGACCCCCTTCTTATAATTATGTTTATATTTGTAAGACCTGTTGTGTAGAGATGGTAATTTAATATTATATGTAATTGTTTCTGCAACATGACACTCCAGTGCAATCTTATGCAGGTCAACTCGCTCCATTCATGGTGAACTTTAGAATGTATGACTCGCTCCATTCTGCTTAGCCACAGGAACAACTTTTCCTTTGTAGTCTTTGTGCTGGATTCTAAATTATGTCACTAGAACTTACAGTTTCTGGGATGAGGTAGAACATTTTGAGGACTCTGGCAATCACAGAATTATAAAATGCTGGCCGCTTGGCCTTGGAGCCGAGTCATTCGAACATTGATACAAGTTTCGGATGCTGTGTACTTGAGTGAAAAAGTGTGCAAGAGAACAATGTAATTTACAGACTAGCAGACTGAAAGATATGACGAGTAACTAACGGAGAACAATTATTTCACTTGTTTCATGTACAGTAAAGATGAAATCATTAGCAATTGTAATAGTACAGGAAATTTATCCATCTTGTATTTTCAAAGACCCGTTCATATTCAGTGATTACTTGACTGTACAAAATACCTGATAAATGAACAGTTGTTTCATGTGTCTTAATCTTCTGTGATTTATAAAGGGGATGAGAAGTTAGCTGTTATTACGATGAATAGCAAACATTTTCCTCTATTAACTTTATTGAGAACTTCATGTTTGTTACACCTTCATGCAGTGTAACTGGACGTTTTGCAGGACTTTCACGAGGAGTACGCGATGGAAGCATTCCGGCGGTCTGACCAGTCGGGTTCGGGATTTATTTCCGCGCTCGACTTCCAGGATATCATGATAAATATCAAGAGCCATCTGCTGACGAGGGAAGTGAAAGCAAACTTGGTGGCAGCAGCGTCAGGGGGGCAGGGCGGAAAACGTGTCAGCTTCCCCTACTTTATGGCGTTCAACTCTCTCCTGAACAACATGGAACTCATAAAAAGAATCTACCTCAATGCTACTACTGGAAATAGGAACCAGGAAGTCACGAAAGGTTTGTTGAATTCTGCGATCAATTGCAAGTTCTTGTTCTGTCATCTCAGGCCATATCTAAGAGCTGAATTCAAGTATTTTAGCGGTGGGATCTTGTAATTCTTCCGTCACCTTGCATCAGATCTGTTAACATTTACGTTTGGGAGGTCGAGTATTTAATTTGTGATCTGAAGACCAGGTATTCTGCGATTTCTCATGTTTTCCTATTCAGCACCAAGCAGATTTGTTACGGTGCCTTAAAACAAGCCACAGCTACTTGAAATCCATCTTCCAGATCGTCCTACAATATAATATAAATGCAAAGCAGGTGAGAAACGACAACATTATACATACGAAGAATTGGTCAGTGTTTCGCGCTGCATGATCGTATTTGTTTCTTATTGGCAGAGGAGTTCCTTCATTCTGCACAGATGATGTCTCAGATCACACCGCTGGAAGTAGACATTCTGTTCCTCCTCTGTGACTTACTTCACCAAACAGGGTAAGTAGCATCAGTAATAACCAAAGGTGTTGCCGTCATATATCCAAATACCTTAAAATTTAACACTTTTTATTGTGAAACAGCTTATAATTTGTGCTGGAAGTTGTTCGTTATGTTTTTAAATGAATTCTAGAGTATTCAGTTACATAATTAATTCAAGTGAGATAGGAAATGCACACAGAGTATAACGATTCTGGCAAATTCAGTAGAATCTGATGTTTGACTTTGTGAATGATGCTACTGACATGATAGATTTCCGGGGGCATTTTATCTGATGCCTATTTGGCTGGGTAGCGACGTTATCAAAGAGGATTTCCCCATGTCATTGCGCATTTGCGTGGGAATTAATGCAACCAGCCACTTCCAAGCACAGAAACGTGTGTATTCGTGTAAAGAGTTTCTTCTGAAAGTGCAAGACACCACAAACCAGATTTTAGACCCAAGGATGGATTTGTGTTACTTCAATTTTTATGCTTGAACATAACGTAAACGTCTGACATATTAAAAATATTGCTACTTCCCCGTCCTCATACTTCGAAACCTGACCTGATGTCGCTGACTATACAAGTTATTTTTGGAGGTTGCTTGTCAGAACTTGAGCGTCTCGCAGATTTCTCTGACACGTCGAACAGACTTCGAGTATTTTTCTTTGCATAAGTTTTATGTCTGTTGTTATGGATACCAAAAGCACTAGCACAGAGTAATAATAGCTGTGCCAGAAATATGCACTGTTGTAGTTGAAAGAACCTTTTTGTTACCAACTAATTAATTCCAAGGAGCAGAGTTCTTCTTGAGGAACTAGCAGTGTCTTGTCTGATTAAAAAAATGTCTCCTCATTTTCTTTTTGGAACCAGAAGGTTCATTATTTGTTTACAAAAGCTCACCACTGGCCTATGTCCTGAGCCAGATAAATCCATGCCTCACCAATGCACTGTTTCAGTAACCTAACCTAACCTAAACTTTTGATATTGTGCTCCTGTCTGAACAGAGGTCTCCCAGGTGGCCTCTTTCCTTCAAATCTTCCAACCAAAATTTTGTATGCATTTCTTACCTTCTGCATGCATGCTGCATGCCCCATCTACCTCAATCCTCTTTGATTCGATAACGTTAGTAATACCTGATGAAGAATGGAAATTGTGAAGTTTCTCATGGTATCTACAGCATTCTTTATGTGCCGTGTTTAATTGGACATTAGGACATTGAACGGTGTACAAAGGAAAAATGATAGCAATATGAAATAACTTTGATTGTCCAAGAAACAGTAATTAAGGTAATATTTTAAG